TATTAATTCAAAACCAGAATTTACGGTTGTTTTTACAGCCATTTTATCAAATAATGGTCTTAATAATTCATCAAGAAATTTTGATATTTTGATAGTAGGATGTTTAAGGCCAGAAACTATTGGACGAAGAGGAGTACCTGGCTTATGGGCTTTTGGTAAATAATATAAATGAGCCAGCTCCACTTCACATGGGTTAATACATAAATTTTCATATTGTTTTTGAGTAATCCATTTAGTTAATCTTAAATCCAATAAATATTTATTGGTTCTTATAATTAAATCTGGTAATGGATCATTTGTACCTAAGCATTTATATGCTTCAGTTTTAGCCATATACTCTTCAGATTTCTTACGATAATATTCTAATTTACCTAAATGGAATACTTTTGATTTATCTGATTTCTGTAATACGACATTTGCCAATTTAAATTTATGCTTCAATCTTTTAACTAATCTTCCATAATTTTTCTTTTTCTTAATTTTAATTATATTGACAATTTGTGATTGAGACAATTGACTATTTATAATTTCTATATCATTTTTATTTTGATTTATATTATTGTCAATTAATGCATTTTTATTTAAATATTTGTCTGCTGTTGAAACATTATGTAAAGTTTGAAGAAGAACATCTAATTCAGCTATAAATTGTTGAACAGGACGACCGGGGCTCACTTTCTTACGAAAGAAACAGTTTTCAATTTTTCGACGAAGAGCAGCCAACTCAGTTATACGTCGTCGAGCAGCTGTTTTTGGGTCATTGAATATAAATTTAGGTCCCAATTTTAATAATTGATGTTCTTCTTCATTGAATCGAATATTTGCTTCATTAATTATTGCTGGAGCAAGAAATCCTCGCCCAGCGAACGTATTACAGTCGGAGCGATTAGTTCTTCTTGCAAATTGTTGGTATCGCCTTCGACTTGCAGTTCGAATAAAAAATGCATCGATTGTTCAATTTCTAATTTCATTCTTTTTTCTCGTAATTCATGATATTGTTTAAAAGCTGCATAGCCAGGTTCAGCATCAAATCCATCATCGTTATCATTGGGAAATCTATCAATAATACCTTTAATTTCATTTGATAAGATTTCATTTTCTCTAGCAGCTG